AACGATTGTCGAACACCTGAAGACGTCTCAGGTCCGCTGCTCGAATAGGCCAAGTCTCACAGCCATACAACAAAACAGCCCGTATTGTAACTTGATACACACGTCCCTTCAGATTCAGGGATCGACCATTCTGACACCATAGGCAATCATGATTACAGCAAGATACATTGCACTCTGGCCCTTAGAGTCTCAAGCGAGGAAAGAGACAAAAATATCATTTTGAAAAAAGAAACAAATACTCGTAATGGATGTCGGTGATATGGAGCATGCTCTTCTTGGAAGAATTCATCTAGAGAACATGCGTAACTCTCTTTGCACCTCCTTTTATCCCGCAGTATCCGTCTGTTTTTACAAATGCTTTTCCTCTTTATCTCAACTTGGCTATCAGACAAACCGACAGTTTTATATCCTCCTACTGGGGACAAACGGATAGCTGTTTATGCGCTAATAAGGTAAACACAAGTGAGTTTGTCAGGCCGATTTTTCCATAGCCCTATAAATCACTGCAGCGCTTATCTATAGAATGTTTTTACCAACTGCTTTTTATGGCAAGAATAGCAACCTCAAGTCCCCACTAAAAATTCTTTTGACCAGATAGTATAGTTGTAGTGGTACACCGATTTCTGACTTGAATTCTCATCAGTTTGGTGTCAGAACTTAAATTTGTAATAATTATATTTATCCAAAAATAATACCGGCAACAAACCGTCCAACTGGAATCAAACAGATGCGCAAGAATGATACAACCTTATCCTAAATAATCATAATGTAGCTAACACCGGTGAAAAGGTACTTTTGTATTCAGAGTTCCTTACACCCCGACGCACTCTTTTTCGAAGTTATCTGTTACTTCACTGTTGATCAACCGAAGGCGGTTAACCACTTGGTGATAGGTTTGGAATCAATTACCGCATGCGCAGACTGATAATCGTTTTAATGGCGTTTAGAGCGAAGAAGATAGCAAGCATCTAGCGAAATACACTCATTTGCAAATCAATTTGGTTTTGCTAGGGACTCACTTGCAACTCAGTTAAATCTCTCGTTTATGCCGTTTTTAAGCAATGGATTGTGCTGCACCACGCCGCCTGATTTTTTATTTGGTACGACATCCGAGATATCGCGATATATGCATAGACGTAATAGACTACTCATAAGGTTGTCAAGGATCTTTTAGCAAATTTATGAGTAGTACGTCTGTAGCAAGCACCTGTTGCACTATTCCCAAACGCATACACTCTGTGTTTGCATTGGTCTGAACCGTAATTTATTTGGATCAATCGAATCCAAACAGTCAATCCACAAATCTAACCCGCATACTGGCTGTGCGCGAGGTCTACACAAATGTCCACTGGCTAGCGTTAGGGTCAATTGTGATGACAAATTTTAAAACAGTCATGAAGACCAAGCAGCTACTCCATGGTGGCCCCAGGTATAGGGTGCTGAATGTGTGATAAAGAATAAGCCATGAATACCCGGTGAGGCTGCAACGAAACCGTGACTTTATGACTCACAAAATGTAAGTCCAATGCACTATAAGCTTGCGCCATTACAATTCTGAACACCTTTCGCTAAAAAGGCCTGAATAAGCCACGATTCCTAACAACATTCTATTCAAAAAGCAGCGGAGTATGTAGAGCACATTGCTTTCGCTTTTTTCGTTGAGTGATCCTGGTGTTGGTCCACAGGAGCTTCTTTAACTGTTCAAGCAGTAAAAAAGTATGTTCTTACATCTTCAGCAACAAGAGAATGGAACACATCAAACGCTGCATGGTGTTCTTTGTCAGAATCAGGTGCTTAATATTAAATGTAATTGAAGGTGTGGAAAAGTTTTGATCCCAAAAATAAAGGCTCATTGGTGTTAACCTGATAGCAGATCTGAAGAATGAGTGCATTTAAAAATGCCACTCAGATTTCAGCTTTAGGAAAACGAGTGATCCTGGTATTTGCTGAGGTGCGCGCTTCAACTTATTACAAAAATATGTACACTCGTACAGGGAAACCTTTATCAATGAATGGTGATTTTGAAGAGCCTTCCTTAATTTACAAACATTTTGAGCAGAATGCTGCAGCTGGAATAAGTGTTTGTATTAAACAAAAGGAATTTGAAAATGAACTCCGCATTTTAGAGTATAAAGTATGGTCAAATTTTTCCAAGATGACGTCATAATCCGATCAGCCTTTTTTGGGATAATTTAATCTAAGCAGAGTTCCAAACTATGGCTTCCATATTTTCTTACGTAGAAAACATGGAAAGAATGAAAAAACAAAAGCACTGGAAAACAGAAGTTATTATGAATTTGCCGTTTGGGATAAGATATTACACCACCACCAGTTTGTCAGTCTAGCCACTTGCGCTTTACTCATGCAAAAGGGAGGCTACTTCCAGGCACACTATATTTTGTTTTTTATATCCTAGCTATGTTAAACATGAAGGAAAATTTACGTCTAATTTTGAACATATTTCTCTGGCTAAATATGTTGCACAGAAATTAATTTACACAGTGTATCAAAAGTCAATCTTTTTTAGTTTTTTAGCATGCAAAATCTAAAAGAAGCGTATGAGTAAATAATCTATCAAACTACACATACTTGTAGACTTTAAGACATGCTTGAATAATGTAATGAACTCTGCTTCTACACATATGAAACCAATGTTCAATATATATATACCACCTTTTGGTGAACAAGAAATGATGAATTTGATAAAATTGTAAGGACACGCGGGTATAAAAAATCAGCACCTCTGTTTAAACTTACTACATTTTTCTTTTGAAAACGTTTCAAACGTTCAGATATTTTGCGTAAATTCCCACAAACGTTGTTATTACCCTCGCGTGTCATCAATTCATGAGCAACAAATCAATGTAAGTATCTTATTTACCCATCGAAATTGAATATAGTTGCTGTTGAAAACGGGCATCGAATCGACCAATCACGCTGCAGTCTGTGCATAAGATCGATGTTCGTGGTGGAAGCCTCCGGTCAGCTGATTTGTCAGCAGTCCGGAATTCCTGACCCGTCTATGATATGCCTCCCATTTTGCAAAATCGGTATCCTTTTTGCTCCATACACGAATAGAATTTTTCTCGAAAAATGCATAAAAAACCCCATTAATTCTTGGAATGAGTGATTTGATAGATCCGCACCAGAAACCATCACGTTCAATAACAAAACGCTGCATAGGGTTATGCCTGGTGATCAAGCATACTCTCCAGTGTTATTTAAACATCCCAACGTGAGCGACATATTTGAGAACCATCTGAAGATACATGAACCAAGCACTACCGAGAAATTACACTGGGAAAAAGGAGAATAAAATAGTGGATCAAAGTAAATACGATTAGTATAAAAATGTATTCGATTACCATTCAAGATACGGTGCTAGACGATCGCAACTCATTTATTGCTCTGCCTATTTAGAATTAATTAGACTCTTGGAGAGGCTTTACATGCAGCAACTTATGTGTTACATCCGTTTAGCACTCAAAGTGAAGTTGCCGATTGTCGTGTAAAAATATAGTTTAATAGGTTCAAAAACAACTTTTACTCAGAGCTGGAAAGTACCGGTTGAAAGTAATTAAGTAATAAACTGAGTTGTGTTGGTTTTGATTCTTAACATGCGTCGATATAAGAAGTCAACTAACTCACTGCGGATAAGAACCAACGAAGTAGATGGTAGCACTGAAGAATTCGGAAGCAAACAATTAACATTATGTTTTAAGGTTTGTTGCTGCGGTACCCTATGATCAGCAAACATCGTCGGAGTTTTGACATTCGTAAACGTTTATGGTTTAATGCGTTTGGTGTGCCGAATAGATATTGAGGTCAGTTGAATCACTATCCATGCTTCGTGCATCAACATTCTCGTAAAGTGAGGAAAGAACCCTTAAGAGATGTCTCAATTCAGTGAAATACCTGCACTTCTGTCCACTGACACAGATCAGAGAGAGGAATGTGTTTTGTTGCACACATTAATAATGAACTCTCCTTAGTGTCCACTGAAAAATTCAGTGAATAAAAAAATCATCAAATTTAACCAGGTGCAAAGCAGGGGTTTCAACTTTTTGATCGGAAAACACTGCTCATTTCAAAGTTTCGTCCATTAAGGAAAGATCACTTTTGTTGGTTTCACGTACAAACAGACTAAAAAAAGATATCTCTGATGTTTGTGCTAGAGCAATATCACTTCAGGTGGCCAAAACAATTACCGTTTGCCCAAGAGCATTATTGACAGGACAAAGCGGGTCCACTCCGAATTTGGCAGCCTCGAAAGTTTCTCAGCCTGAGACTAATCAGATTTAGTGGCATGTGACAAGTATAGAGGTTCTACAGAATGTAACTCAGATTTCAACATTAGTAGTCTATGTGGGCAAATTTCAGTAGTTCAGCTTTGCGGCTGACAGGTGCGTTGTTGTCAAAGACGGTAAAAATAATGTTTGCTGTGAATTGTAGTAAACTCACGAAGAAGTGTACAGGAGTCGACACTATTAGATGCACTTCAATATGTCACCACTCTGCCATACTGTTGCGTGCTACGGTTAGCTACAGATTACGTTCGCTAGAGTAGTTTCAACAGAGGTACTTTTCATGCTGGAACTTCCACTTTTTAATATGCGTCTTCCTTACCAACCGGTTGGACACTTTACTCAACTAGAGCTGCTTAAATAGTGCAAATGAAAACCTTTTTGCAAGGTGACAATTGGTTATGATTGCCCACTTTATGGCCGAAAATTCCAGATATCTGGTGAGTTGATTCCAGTAAACATTTCCAAAACAAACAGAACCAGAAGGCCGTTTTTGAAAATGCAGAATGTGGTGTACAGATGCAACTCCAAGGTGCTAATTGTTAGAATGTATCTAGTGCAACTCAGAAAACTGACTACGTGAAAGTACTTGAAAGGAACAGACGAATACACCTCCGAATAGACAACACAGTAATAGTGTTGTCGAATGTGCTGATTATTTAGAATCAAACTGTTGGTAGCATAAGAGGAAAAGCCGTCAAAGAATTTGTAGACCACCAATTTGATAGTGTATCTCAAGTGACACCAGCCAATTCCAACAGGTCTATTCATTAAATACTGCGCGCCATAATGGTTTTAAAAGGCAATGAACTGAGTGCAACATCCCTCCATTACTGGCGCAATGGTGCCCCTCATCCGTCGACAGGTCAGATCACCGACCATGTTGACATGCAAGCTACCTTCGAGTAACAAAAATGAGCTGGTAGGTGTATTTTTGGCTCATAACTACGATCTTTCACCGCCGCGGCTCACATTATTCAGGGATTTCAAACCTGCTCAGGGCACTATCTGGTTACAATAGTGTTAGAATGAAAGGTATTAGAAAAATCATGCAAGTGCTAAAAAGAACATATGGTTATTATGTGAATTTTAATAATGTATTTGAGCTTAAAAAGCTGAAAATCCTCCGTGCTGACCTGGAATCGCCGACATATTCAATCTCACTGCAGTTACAAGGTGGCCTTTCTTTATTATTATTTTTCCAGACAAGATGAGAGGGGCTACCATTCATTGAAACTGACTTACTGTGTAATTAGTACCAACTGATAGTGCAAATTACTAGGCTTTGCTGAAAACGTTATTGTTACTGTTTGATCACAAAAAGGTGTAAATACCTGTGAACTACTAGTCATAACAATAATCACGAGTCCACCGACGGTTGGTTCTGTAGTTCTAAGTAAGTGGGCTCATTGAAATATATAGTTTTTTAACGGATGACGAATATACTGATACGTGATTAATTATTCATTTTGTATGCCCATACAGATAACTAAGTAGTAGAAAATCGAAGGAAAATCATCCAGGTTACTGGCTCACCCTTAAATTTGTTGTGATGCTTCTAAGAAATTTCAAGATAATGAGCTTCCATATGATTTTATATGAACGAACCGGGACGTCCTCAAGACATTGTGAAGCCTCAAAACTTTTCATCAAGTGTTGCTAATGGGAGTATGTTTATGTCTCTGAAAAGAGACAGAAGAAAGTGCGCTGTATTACTCAGTATTCATTAGAACTACAGGGCCTATCAGGGTGTTCTATGTTAAGGCCAAAGGTTCAGATTCAGTGTGAACTGCTATTCAAATTCAGCAGTCAACATGTAACGACTCCTATCTTGTTTCATAGGCGTATTTGAAGCCAACAGCGGTGATGAATATCCGATATCCGAATCGGGTTCACCTATCAACAGTTGTTAGACAGATAGGCGCGACCGGTATATGTACACAAACGTACAGAATGACAAAGTCCAAGATCTGCATTTCCAACTGATTTTAAGACTATCAATCCACAACTGTAGTTGAAAATTTGACACCTGGTTCAAGAATCATCTGACAAGCAAAAGGTTATTCAGGCTGGAATTGGAATTCTGTATGTACATCTATTCGATAAACATCGTATAGAGCTGTCTAAAAATTTTAGGAGAACAACAAGGAAAGCGTTACGGAACAAATTTTATACAGATGTTTGTGATTCCTACGGTCGGAAGACTACCTCTGTTATGTTTTAAAGGAGAAACTCAAGTGAATTCACATTTTAGGCATTTCGAGTCCGCCTGTGAGGTTCAAAACGAAAAGGATCAAGGTGCTATCCGCTTGTGAGATCAGCTTTTAAATATTCGTAATACATCCTGATAAACGCAAAATCAAGAGGTAGAGATAGAGGCTATCTACGGACCCTACCATTAATTAAATGGGCACAAAACACAGACTTATCACCGAAGCAGATTTAGCTTCATTCACTGACAAAGCTCACTGCTACATATTTCGGCAGTTTACGTGTGTGCTTTACATGATGCACCTATAAATCTCACCTTCCAATTCATTTTTTCCAACCAAGACTAATTACAAAACAGGGGAATTTCTTACTTTCATGACAACTGCTTAAATTTCAGCTCGATAAAAGTCAAACTAACGTCTCTGCATTATTTTGAGATCCAATTTTTACAATAACAAAATATGACCATCAAAAACTGTCTCAAATAATATAGTCCGAGTAATCGATGAAAACAACTGCAGAAAATTTGTACTAAATTAAAGCAGCATAATTAATCTAGCTGGGTAAAGCATGCAAGTATATTTGGTTTTCAGAATAGCGGTGAAAAATGGAAAATGTCGCCAAGGGTAGTCCTTGGAAAAAGTGTTACAGGTGGCTTAATCGGACATCGCTAATCAATAATTGGGCACCAGCGGAAGGGTCTCATAACGAAACAATGGGTCTGTTTGGGGAAAAATCATCTGGTATACTTTGTGTATTAAGTAGGGAGTATTGGTGAGAATTTTTCTGTTTAAAGAAAGGGCCATCGTGCGCGCTTTGGCTCATGTAAAAAATCTAATAGGCATTAGGACAGCAAAATATTTACTCAGCAAATAGGAAAATCGTGAAGATCCAAAATCACACACGCTCAATGAATGTAGGCGATATTGTTCTAGACACGTGAACGCGCAATGCTTCTTGCGGAAACACCGGTATAATCAGCCGAAAGCAATAAGGCCGTAATTACCCATCGAAAAATCTAGGATACAAACAAATACTGGTTAGGAAGTTATCGTGTTGTTTCACGATTAAAGACTGTGGAACCAGAAACACGGTTATCGTAGTTTGGTGCAAATAAGTTATATCATATAGATGCTTCGAAATCAAGTTAGTGTCTGGGTTGGTTTAAACTTGCCCCCAAGCGCCACAATTGTACAGAACACACCAAAGAGAGTTTTGTTGTCTAACTCTTTGGTTTTAAGTTGTCG